CACCACCGACACGCGAAGTGATCCTCGTTAAATTTCTTCGAAGATGGTTACCAAATACTTCAGACGTATACGCTCTAAAAAGTCTGCAGCGTCTGTTTTTTTTTTTGTTGTTTTTTTTTGTTTTTTGGCGAAGCACTTCGTAGAGCCAACCTCTGCAATCTACGGATGATGCTCGGCGAATAATGAAATTGAAAATATGTTTCGATACAAAAAAATACTATATGATGTGACATTGAGAATGGTGAAACGTCATGAACACTGTAGCAGCGTGGACATTTTTTTGGTTCTAAATATATTCTTTAAATCGCCAGTCGCCGGACTCACTCTGTACATTGCAGCGATTGGCTCTGCCAAGTGCTTCGCGGAGAAGTAGACGCACTGGATCTCTTAGAAAGTAGTTCAACTTGACAGCCATATACAACTTCCGAAAATAGATCTAAACTATCACTAGCTAGGCTAGCGCTCTAGAGAAAGCGAATTATAGTTAATTTCATAACTACACGAGCTACTTCAAGCTACTTCGAATATGCGTACCTAATGGCACAGCGCCGAAGAATGAATTACGAAGCAAGATGTGTGGACATAGTGGGAACTTTTAGGAAACCGTTACCGTGTTCCGCGTACCGCACTACCGGAGCCTTTGAAAAGCATGCTTTAAAGGATCCGGTAGTGCGGTACGCGGAACACGATAACAGCCTGCTAAAAGTACATAATGAGTTGCATTAGGGGAGATTCACCCACTCGTAACTCGATGAGCAGATTTCGCTACCCAAACTTGAGTTTAAAAAATGTAACAGGGTATTGATTCTTTTAGGTTCATTGGGGAATTGTAGTAGACCGTTTCCTCAGCCCGCTAAGCACTCGGATAGCACTCCGTAATCCGCCACGAGACCTTGAACTATGCAGATAAAGCTGGCGGCGCGCATGCGCAGCTGCGGCGTTTTCTTCAGGGACACCGTAGCGGAGGAGAAAACCGGTCTACTACAATTCCCTATTATGAAGATACTACGAAGGTCGTACGACCCGTTGATTTTCTCTTGAGAACGCTGATTATATTTAATAAAATCCCCAGGAAAATGACTATTTTGACTGTTTTGAGAACATTTTAAGGAAATTTTGAAATTCAAATTACTTAGAAGATGGATGCGAAAAAATGAATGGCAGTACGTACGAGGGATGTCTGCTACCTTTTTATTAAGAACCTGACGGGAAGACTAAATGTCTTATTTTTCGAGGATTTATGTAAGTAATTTTGACTGGGCAGTATTTGCTCAAGATATGCTCAACCCTGACCCCAGTAGGGCGTGCTCAATTTTATAAGCTTACCTCACTGAACGATTTCTGCCCAGACCTGCTCTGTGGAACTTGCGTGCCCTACCTGTCTGCACCTTATATGGCACTGTCCGGACATCAGCAAGCAAAGACAAGATACCATACACGAACTACCCGCGGAAGCCAGACCACAAACTACAGAGAATGAACAAGACCGGCCAGTGACAACCCCAATAGGACAAAAATATTTAACTCTCAGTTGGGCCACGTATGCTCGGCGGCCACGTATGATCGGGATTTTCGGGAACCTTTATTATCACACATGTAGGCACATACCGCATACAATAAGCATCGGCAGAACATATGCATTTATCGCGTACACATACACAGCACAGACGAATCCGATCACTACTTCCGAGCGCTGCGCTTCCGTCTTTTATACTCGTCGTTTTGGACGTATGGAATTTCTCGGTGACCGCCTAAGCAATAAAAAATATTCCCAGCGTGTTGATTTTTTTTTTTTCCAGCAATGTCATACCTATGAGCGTATTTTGAACGGCTCAGGGGATGAATATCTTAGTAAAAAGTAAACGCTCATGCCGTAATTATTGGAATGAAAGCCGCTCAAATGCGATTCCCAGCCATGTGTTTGCTTCCCCGCACGGCACGTTGATGCCAGTATTTCTATTTTAGTGCTTGTTTTTCTATTTGTGCTGTTCGCGCAAGGCTGCAATTGTCGTCTTGAATCAATCTCTTTAGAGCGCATTTTACTTAGCTGGAAGTGATGCTTCACGGGCAGAGAAGTCGCTTTTCGATCAACTTGAATGCAGTCAAAGCCGCGAGTTGCGGCAGGTGTTAAGTGTACAGAGCTACGCCGTGGCGAGCTCGAAAACTCCTAGCGCTGAGAAAAACGAACAAACGAAGTGCGCAAAGAGAAGACGAGCTTGCATGCAGTATAGCCTCCTTCTTGATATTACTTTGCACTAATATTTTGGTGTCGTGTAGACCTGCCAGACACGCTTGAAGATATACATACTGAAGTTGAGCGAATAGTTGTTAGAGTCGAATAGCGCAGCGTCATTCGTGTAGCTTCAACATTGTAAAGAAAGCGGTGCGTCGTGTTTTTTGCTTGTACTGAGAAAGCTATGAGCGACGCAGCGCTATTTGATTCGAACCACCTTTCGCACACTTCTAATATTTATTTATTTTTAGCGAAGATAGTCTACATACCATACTTCTTCACCCTTAAAGAGACACTAACACCCCCCCCCCCCCCCAAAAAAAAAAAAAACAACATTTTTTTGTGTGCCAGGCGATTTATTATGGTGTCAGAAGACTACCCAATCAATATTTGGTTACAGCGTCACGTACATTTTTAATAAAGTAAAAAAGCGCAACTGCTCGAAACCGAAACCGAAATAAACTGGAGAGGACGAAGAAATATAGAGGAGGAGAATGTTACCGGAAGTCACGTGACTGTGCAGCTTTTTCTTTCGATCAACGTATTTGCAACATTTTAGAAGCCACAAAATAATGGATGTCAGATTTTTCGCCCTTTGTAGTATTGAGTGTGTGCCTTCGATGACCCGCGACTTTGATTATCTTTAGTGGTTGTGTCTAAACCATAGAATACGGCTCGTGACCACGGAAAAGAGAGTGAGCGCGACTCAACCGGCCAGTTCTCGATCGGCGGTTTTCGGCCGGAACGAAAACGAATTTTGAGCCGTAAATTGTGTTCTGGATAGTTGGGCTCTCATATGTCATGTACAACTGAAAACCTCGGCGGGCATAAATACCCTGTCAGTATCCCTTTAAGTCTGAGACTAGAAGCTCCGCCTTAAGCGCGAGCTTTCTGCCCTTGCTAATGTAAGTGTGAACGCGCAGGCACACGCAACCAAAGCACTGCGGGCTCCAACGAGCTCGCGCAGAGTGCGGAGAAGTATACATCGAGTCACTCAAATGCACGCTCCTTAGAGGACGTGCGATACTTGTTCGTTTGTATTTTTAGCTACAATATGATTCTAGATAAATAGGCATATTTCATGAAAGCCAACTCAAAATATTCTTGCAACAAAACCTCAAATACACTAAAAAACAAACAAAAAGAAACGCATATCTCTGGTGCGGGCACAGCGACGACGCCATTCGAAGACTCGGGTAACATGTTTCAGACAATCGATAGCCTTTCAGTTCGCTATTCGACGGATGTCAAGGTGCCGTGCTCCGTTTGACACTATGCTGGACCGCAGCAGACGCAACACGCCGTCGTAACCAATCCTACGCCGCTTGAGCGTCACGTGGCCTCAAGGAGGGGCGCAACCACGCGCGGGTCGCGGAGTCACTCGCAGCGATGGATTGACCAAGACGTCTCGTAGCGTCCGGTACTGTCCACCGTATAAGCGAAAACTGAGGAGGGGCAGGTTGTTTGTGCGCGCTTGCATATCGAGCGTCCACGTTGCGTCGGTTGGTTGTTTTTTCGGTCACTTCATTTCGTAAAACGCCGTACGCCCCCGCCTTTGTGCTGTATGTATCCTCGAGTGGTAAAACTGAAGCCTCGTGTAAGAAGTCACGAAGAACACAAACAAAAACGCAGTTGCTTCAAACCCACCAGAAGTTTGAGGTTAGAAGTTAGAAGAAGAAAAAAAAACGGTTTGCTGCAGTTTCCCCCCCAATGGAAAGAACCCCTTAAAACTTAAAACGCACACATCCGGATTTAATGAGCGGCATCCTGTCGGTACATTTTTTTCTTTCTTTTCTTTTCTAATTATGCGTGTGCTGTTTAGGGAGGGGGGGGGGGGGGGGGGATGGAAAGTCCAGTCGTTCACGAATGCTGGTTTTCTTTGCTAGCATTCCGCCCCTTCACCCTAAACACAATATTTAAAAAAAAATGAGCGCATACTCCTTTGCCGTAAAAATAACGTTACTAAAAATAAAAAAGTCCCCGTGTGAATGGTTTTGTGCAAAGCTAACAAGAAAAGAGATGCTTCCTCTATTTTCTTTTCTTTTTCTTTTTTTTTTTTTTTTTTGTGTGTATGAAAGTTATCGCATGAGTAGAGCCGCATAGGTTCGATTTCGACCTGGAAATCTGAGAATGTAGCACGATCCCGGATTTCTTCCTTTAATAAATCACAGGTAAGGGTCATATGTTTCCACAAAATGCACGTTTTCTTGTTATTACTGCTGCTATTATTAACTGTTGTGTGAGACAGGAGATCATGCACTCCTTTCTTTAAAAAACAAACAAATTTGTTTTCATTACGAGCTTCGAAAAGTTAGTACGATGTGGCGGTAAAGTAGACATTTGGGCTAGTTGGAAGTCTACCATATTGAGGTATTTAGCGCACAAGGTCCTGTCCATCTTCTCTCTACCTTTACCTCTTCTCTCTACCCGTTAAAAAAAAAAAAAAAAAAAAAAACGTAAGACACCTCGAACTGCCTGGGATGCTACATCTCTACCCATCTAGCCTGTGTACGACTGTTACATGTTTTCCTGAACTCCATACGTCCACGGACTAAGAAACATGTAACCCAAACAAGGGCTATGGTTAAATTTTTCTCGATGAGCTTGTTTATAATTGTAGACAAATGTGGCCAACAGGTATCAATTACTTTAAAGAAAAAAGTCTTTAACCGAAGCCTCAAAAACCCACCAACAAACGATCAAAATATCGTCTCCTCAAAAATATTCGGCTAGCCCAGCTAACGAGCTTCTGCTTGTATCTCGACAGTTCGTTCATCCAGCTCATCGGCGATCTACGAGAACTTCAAGACAAGCACTACGACGACCGACTCCAGCTAAGACCACCACAGAGGTGAGCTAATCATTGATCAAAGTAAAAAAACAAAAAACATCGGCATCTTAGCGCTTTTTTTATCTTTTATGAGCAACGAATATGTGAGGAAAGCACAAAATAGTAAAACTATAAAGAGAAAAAACGAAGTAGGCAGAATGAAGGTCGAACTATCTGATCTTCCACCCAGCCTCAGGAACACTCGCCCGTGACTCAGCCGGATGTCAAGTAAGGGACGTGGATTGTTGAAAGAGGAGTTGGTTGTAATGGAGGCCACCCTAGCCCCGCGGGACCTGGCGCGCGATTGTCTTGCGCACCACTGGCCCGACGTCTTGGTGACTCCTTTCTGAGAAGCCGCCGACTCGGCCGACGAACGCAGAAAGGAAGCCAAGAAAAAGTACGCATGCACAACTGTAAAATGCAACTGCCGGACGGCTGGAGTGTAGATGATCTTCGCAGTTTTGCGGACCTCAGCTCCACACCTCAACGCTAACGATCTCACATTCCGAGATGCGGTTCTTCTCTCAATGACGACGGAGAGTCTATTGGCAATACATATTTGGGATGAGAGCTCTGTGGGAGATAGGAGCTTATTGTGATTTTAGTCGTTGCGTCTCGTTGTCATGTAGGGGCTTTTGCTGTGGGGATATGGATCGGAGGTGGGTCCGCTGCCGCAGAGAACTGCTGCAAGCGATGATCGAGGTGATGGCCGCAATGAAAGACACACAGTGCCCGCCAAAACCTAACTTCGCTACTCTCTTCGTTTCGAATATCTTGTTATGTCCTATTGGAAAGTCGAATGTCCGGTAATTGCCCAGTATTTGGCGTCAACGTGGCATCATTAGGTCCGAGACCATAGAACAATTTGAGACATAATCAGAGCTGAAAGTGTATAGTTTAATAAAAGGGTGGCCTACTCTTCTTGGCAAATAAAAATAACATCTCATTTGCTTTTCTATTAAAATGCGAGTCGTCTCATTATAATAGTAATGAAACTTGCTTTAAACGTGGAATTATTTGAAAACGCTAGGCGAAACAACTTCTCAGATGTTCTAGTGTTTCAGCAAGTCATCTAGCTTATTTGTCCTATTCTACGTACTCGAGAGTTGGGGGTATTAAAAATACCCGTTTTGGTTCAAATGAACAAAGTCGACAATCGCAACTCAATGAGCCCGTCAGTCGATTGGTTTCGTTTGTTACAAAACCAGTGTGTCTCACATGTGGTAAGTCACATTAAAAAGTAAATTAAATTTTTTTCTATGTGTATATTTATAAATGCATTAATTCTAAATTATTGTTTTCCGGGTGGAATAAATGATCGCATTTTATTCACAAAACCAGATGATTGGCCAATTATTTAAAAATACGCTAATATTTCTCCTTCCTAATTATATTGCAATGTCTGTTCTCCAGGTCACGTTATTGCATTGTCATTTGTTGAATAATCAAAAGCGAACACGCTAGCATTTTTATTTGTTTTAATTACTTTACGCATAATCGTATTGCGCACCCCAACGGGTAAACTTATTTCTAAAAAAGCTTCCCGACGCACTCACGTTCATATGTCAACTGTAGCACGAGGTGGGTCATGCTAGGAGCGCTGTCCTAAGCTCTCACAAATAGCTGGGGAGCTAGACTCGTCAAAGAGTAAGTCTGAGCAGTACCTCCACAAAGCTTCACAAACGGCCTCTTACGACAACAGTGCACGGCGTCATCGTGGCACGCGTCTATTCGGCGCTCTCTGCAAACTTCGGCCCCAACTTTGTATTTGACGCGTTTACATGTCCCTGGGAGCTTAAAAAGGAAAACCTGGCGTGTCTCGAGCATATTAAAATCTCTCCCCGCAGAAAATGAGCTTCCGGGTTCGGCCGATAAGCACACGAGAGAAGATATCCTGAAGTGAGAAACCTGCACTTAATACGCAGCAGTATAGGAAGCCAGAGCGTTACTAAAAAAAGAAAGGCAAGAACATGCGTCGTGTAGGAGGCTATGAAACTTATGCAGGAGGCTATGACACCACACACAAAATAGACAAACAAAGGGGTCATACAACTCCGGTATACTGTCATGATTTCAGTCGTGTTGTTGTTGTTTCTTTTTGTACTTTTCTACCTATTTCTCGTGAAAACGTTTAAGGCGAATACTATACCGGAGTTGTATGTCAGCGCCTTCCCTTTTTTTTGTCTTTTTTGTGTGTCTCCCTGCTGCCTCCTCGTCCTTTTTCTCTGCGTCTGTCTATTCAGAATCGCCAAACTAGCGCGAGCATCGATCGTAATAAGCCACGCCCCGCGATTCTTAAACTGTCGGTTATCGCGGAGCATCTGCCGGAGCACACGTTTCGAGGTTCGTCGTTCGAGCCCTTACACTCCCGTTCTCTCGGCTTTTTCTAGAATCACAAGCAAAGCACTGGAAGTGGACTCCGAGGTGAAGCCTATCCAGCTGGACGACCTCGAAGTGCTGGCCACACTGGGAATCGGAGGCTTCGGACGAGTGGAGCTGGTATGCGAGCGTCATGTTAGTCTGCTGCAGGTTTAGATTAGAAGGATCGAAGCCTCTCCCGCGAAGCTCTGTGTGTTTGTGTGTACGTTGATAGAGCCTTAAATTGGTCTGCATTAACTGGCGACATGTCTCTCAGCTGTAGATAAGAAATTTAGCGAGTGCAGTACAGCTGCTAGTCTGCGTTCTCTAACGTGCACCACGCATTTGTGATACACGACCGCACGCCGGTGCGATGCTCATCTAGATCGAAATGGGCAGGGATGGAGATCGAACCCAGGATCTCTGGGTTCTGCAGCGCGAACTCCCACGAAGCTCTCTGCCCGCCGTGACTGGTAGCTTCCTCATCTCCACTGAATCCTCTCCAGCGTTCGCTCTGCGTGAAAAGGGTGAAAAGCTTCAAAAAGAAAAGCTTGCCTTTTTTTTTTTTTTAACCTGCAATTACACTTTAAAAATCTGGAGCGCCAATTTTCCCACAAAGCATTTGGGAAAGCCAATTAATGAAATATATTGGTGATATATCGGCGAAAGACGAGGCTGTTTCCCAATCGTGCCAATCAATACTATCTATTGGTGCGATATCGGCGAATGACGAGTCTAGTACCTGAGGTCTATAGACATCTTAGCGGTCTTGTCACCCGCCGATATCCCATCGTAGAACTCAGCGATTCGCTCCCCCAAGTGCTTTGAAGAAAAGTAAGTGCTCCTGATGTTTTTTTTAGAGTGAATATAAATATATTTCTATATTCTATCAAAGGTCAAACCAAGGGTAGTCGATGCGTGAATGATAACCTAATAAACAGGCCTGAGGCAAGGAATATAAGATAAAATAACACGACGCGAGGAATGGTGTTTACGTGCTTAAGAAGTGGTCTTAGCACCATTCTGTAATTATGTTAAAACCATTAGGGAATGAAATACTCCTCCTCCTGAGATTGTTTCTGTTGCATATAAGGTTATTTTCATGTCCCTTCCTCCCTTCCTGACAGCCACGCAGGTTCAAAATTAATAAGGAATATATCATAACACCTCAAACCAAGCTGAGATTATTCGCGACAGAGCTCCATTAAGTACTCCTTTATGCAAAAGGAAGGAAAGAAGAAATAAAATGAAGGGGTATTTGTTGCCGTTCTCGTGATGATTAACTCAGGAGCATTTGAAGTTTTGTGTCGTGTTGCCTGTTGTTCTCTTTTTTCTTGTCTCCCTGCAGCTTTAAATAATGATGATTCTTAATCAGCTCGCCTGCATACTTCCTCTTCTTGCAAGTCGTAGACTTGCCTTTTTATCGCACTAAACTCTATTTACAAATTCAAAAAATAAAATATATATATGCTTATTCCGCATCCACCTATATAAAAGGTGCAATCAGGAGCGAATACCGCTGAGCGAGAAGTGTAAGAGACTGAAAAGAAAGATTTGTTTCCTCGCGGTTAATCAAGTTGCACGCCTGAGTAAAAAATAAACAACTTTATTATTTTTTGTTTTTTGCGCAAAGCTAAAACGGTTAACCTAGTGGGAGCTCGTGCTCCCGATCGACGGAAAACAGCGCACTGCCGTCCAACAGCTGCGTTCAACTTTTTCGCCTCTCGGCCGTGTGGCTCATCTCGTCGCAAAACAGAAAAGTTATATTATGATTTCATCCGCTCACAAATGGTTCTAATAAATAGCTTCTGGTAAGGGGCTATTTCAAACCACATCCATGCGCGTGTGGATTGCGCCCTGCCAACGCTACTTGGTACAATCGGAGCCCGTGAACATCCTGCTCTTCCTCCGTGGAACGTCATCATGGTCGGATGGTACCATCTCCGGGATTGGACCCGAACCCGATGCCGAGCGTCGTTCGACTCGTTCATTAGACACGAGGTCCAGCCGAACGAAGACACAGCACTCGTGTCGAATCTCTGCCATCTTACCGCTATGACGTCAAACTTCTGTGCACAAGCTTTTGGTTATTTTACGTGGTGCTGGGGTTGCTCCAAGACAACGACCACGCACTTGCTTAACTGTGGAAATTGCACGCAGGACTAATGTGTTTGTAAACAAGAAAACAATGTTTACGGAATGGTGGCAAGCCTGTTAATAACTTTTTTTTTGTTTATTTATAGATTTAGTTGTAAAAATCTTGAAACACGAGCACCGAGTTAGAACTTTGAAGATACGGAATTCGGTAGCCCTTTTTGACAGCGAGTTCAATCGGCTATTTCACTTTAAATGCGAGCTAGTTCGCTTTCAATAATGATAAATTATATCTGAACACCTAGTCGCCCTCATCGCACTTTTAATGCCAATCAGTAATGTCAACTGGAAATTATTATCGAATGACGAAATACATAGTTTTCTGACCCAAAACCAGGGTAAAAAAAAAGCATATTTTTTTTAATAAATAAGTCAGATTTGTTTTATTTAAATCACCGTATCTAGAAAATAGTAATATTATATTTCTAGATGCATTTTTCAACATAGCAGATTGATTGATCAATTCTTTCTATCACTAGTAACAATGCAGAAGAAATAATTTCCGGCGAAGATAAAGTACAATTTTGTGCACTTTTTTATTACTGTAATTTCTGCCATGCTAGAACAAAAACAGTTTGGGTTGTTTAAGAGTTAAAAAACTTAATTTGCTTTTTATTTACTTTTTCGCGTTCTAACTTTATTTTAACAAGACCTTATATTTTTTTACTTTTAGTTTATTTCTTTTGCGTTATGATTTTGTTCCGATGAAACGTTGCGTAGCTGACGAGCAAAGTGGAAGGTAGAGAACAAGCTCAACGCTCCGATTTATTCGGAAGAGCAATTCTTTTTGCTCCTGTTTGGTCCTTTATAAATCTTTCTTTCTTCGTAATTCTTTGATTTAAATAAAAACACAAAAAGTCACTTAGAAAGTATTAAATGTTAGACAAACCGCAATAAAAAATATTGTCCTTTCTTTTCAGGAAGGGCTTGATTTAAATCAAGTTGATTTTTATTATCCACCCTGCCCGGAGCTGTTTAGAAAAACTCCATGACGCAGCACACGCCCACCGTCTCAGTGCGCATTGCAGACTTTTCAGTGTTCATCTAAAAAGCAGACCTGCACTTTTTTCTTTATAAGTGATAACCGAGAAAGACATGACATCCTTTGACTTCACATCAGTCGCGACTGGGACGGACATGCTGCTGAGTGCGTACTCTCTGCAACATACAATTCGCAGCACCAAATGAGTGTATCTCGGCACGAACTGTGGAATAGCCGTCAGCATAATTCGATGGTGTCACGAGCCAGCTTTGTATAAGAAGGATGTTTAAATAAACGGACGTCAATCCGGTTAAACATTCGATAAAGCAGTTTTTTAAGACGCATTCCAGTTTATTTTAAACATTTAGGGAAAATTATTCGGCTTTACGTTGTTGAAGTTTGCAGTCTCTTGATAGTGCTCTCGTGCTTTCAGGGTTTGCTGAATCAGGAAATTGAAAAGTACACATTCCTAGCACCAGAGTACTTATTTACCAACCTCACCCCGGGGTTGTTGAAATACATGAGCGGGCTTTGCGAGGTTTCTGGATAAGTGTGACCTTCCACTCCATCCTATAATCATGGCTGCTCCCGCTTTCAATATTCCTTGGACTTAAGAACAAAGCCGCTGACAGGTTTCGAGGGAAACTGACCACAATGTTGGTAGCACCTATCGGAACTTCGTCATATGCGACCAGTATGCTTCAGAGCTAGGGTGCACATTCCCGGTCAATGAGACATGTTCCCCCATCACAGATTTGTCTCAGTTCCTTTTCGGCTACGACGCAGAACTCGCTGCGTGTCAAGGAACGCCAAGAATCTATAGCGAGGAGTTTGATTTTTACTAAATTTGAAGCTTTGGGGCCTAGCTTCCATAGAGATACAAGTTACTGTAGTCCCAGTATACTAGCTGAAGTTAATTGCTTGGTCGGCTGGGTGAAAAGACGATTAATGAAAGGGAGCTTGCGCCGATCTCGCCTGACCTTAATTAATTAGGACTGCCCTACCGAAAAAAAAACAGTTTAAACTGGATTATGGAACAGGACAATATAACTGGATTTCTTGCTGGAAACCTAAAATACAGTTGGCGAACCATTGTCTGCAAGCTGGATTTCAGGTTTCCAGCAAGAAATTCAGATAGATTTTCCTGTTCAATATTAATCATAATAACGTCTTTATCTCCCATTTACAATGGTGGAGGCCGAGACAAAAAGCCGCACGAAACGGCTCGACGAGCTCTCGGCCCTCAAATTGCATTCTGCAGCAGTGACAGGGCTAGAGAGAACTAAAATACACGCACGCACACCAAAAACATTAGTCGTCTACAACAAAATGGCACATCAACGAACGCAATTCTTTCGTGTTGATGGTATCTACGTGAACATCACTGTGAATAAAACAATTAAGCAGTTTAAGTAATCTGCAGCATAACATTTCTTTTCTTAGGTTTAATCGGCAAGTAGGTACATTCCAGAATTCAGTGTTTCGAAATTGGTAATTGGGAACGCGTTGGTTTAAACCAGACAGTTCAATTATGTAAGTGCGGTTACTGAATAATTCATGTTTATACTTTGTAGAAAGCCTATAATTATACATATTGTCGATACTTGATATATTATACATTCCGAACACGTTTTCTGTATGCGAGCAGAACGGCACATTAGCAATTGTGCGTAACATTCGTTTTTGGAGTAAGTGTACCATCTTAAGATTTGTTGCCGTGGTATTACCCCAGACCAGGTGGCAGTACTTTAAATGAGTAAAAGTAAAAATTTATACAGTAATAATTTAACTCACCTCGGAAATATATATCGATTCCGATATAACAGACATACAACCTTTGCTAATTTATTTTTTAAATTCTCAATATGATGGGCCCATGACAAGTTTTGTGAAATCAATGCCAAGCGTTTTGAATGAGTCAACCAATTCAATATTTACCGAGTTTATATAAATGTGTTCTAATGGGGAAATACCGTTATTTTTCGGCCTAAATATCATAGCTTTTGTTTTATTGGTATTTATTTTTAAGGCGTCTTTATCGGTCCATACTCCTAATTTATCTAGTACTGTGTTGGCCATAGATATAAGTTGATGTGCCTTATCAACAGTAAGAAGAAGCGTCGCATCGTCAGCATATATAACAAATTTAGTTGTCTGGTGAATGTTCACAATATCATTGGCATAAACGTTAAAAAGGAAAGGTCCTAAGATACTGTCTTGAAGTACACCCGATATTAAAGATTTGATAGTGGAAATGAAATCATAACAAACGTATTGTTTGCGGTTTCCAAGGTAGGATTGAAGAAGAGTTAAAGCTTGTCCGCGAATGCCATACTATTCCAGCTTTTTCAATAATAGTTCATGGTTTAGAAAATCAAAAGCCTTAGTAAAGTATACGTAAATACCAAGTACTAGTTTACATTTCTTGAGATTTCTTAAAATAAATTCTTTCTTTTCAAGTAAGGCAAGTTCAGCTGATTTGTGCTTTCTAAATCCAAACTGGGATCTTGTAATCAGCTTATGTTTGTCAACAGCGTTAGACAAGCGGGTGTGGATAACTTTTTCAAGTCCCTTTGAAAAGACTGACAGTACTGACATAGGTCTATAGTTATTAATATCATTCCTATCTTCCTTCTTGTGCAGAATGGAAACCTTGGCTACTTGCATACGCGCAGGAAATATTCCTGTCGATATGCTCAAGTTGAAGATATGTTTTACATAAGGTGTTATAATGTCTAGAACATATTTTACTGGCTTAATCTGGATATCATCAACATCTCTACTCGTGGTGTTCTTTAAATTCATAAACACTGAAATCACCTCGGTATCAATAACTGGATCGAGAAAAACATAATTCTCATTCTTTTTTTCAGTGTATGAACAGGCTTCATTACTATACGCGTTTGTAGCTAAGTTTACAAATTGATCATAAATCGCATTAACTAAAGCAACACCTGTAAGTTCTGTACCATTCACACAAATTTTTTACACACCAACATGAGACCAGTCACATTGTAAGATTGAATTAATCATTTTCCATAGAACATCAACACGTCCACTTGACGAGCCCAAGCTCTTATGATAGTAATCCTTGCCTTTTGAAGTTCCTTTGTCAGCCTATTTCTTATATAATTTGAATTTGTTAAGATCCGTTTAATCTCTTGTTTTATTTAATTTTTCAAACAATCGATTTTTTATATTAATTTTCGATAAGAGGACTGGAGTAATCCAGGGCTTACGAATTCTTTTTTATGTTTTAAATATCTTATACGGTAAATTGCTTGCATACAGATTTTTTAACCTGTCCAGAAAAAGATTGTACGCTACATCAGGGTTTGTTTCATTAACAACGGCCAGACCAATTTTAATTTCTAATACATTCACGAAACTTTTCAAGGTTATGAAGCGTGATATCTTGAAAACGACTGATGTACTTTTTATTATTTTATGGCATCGCTTGCCTGTTATGCAAAAGAAAGTGGGTAAATGGTCACTTATATGATAATTTAAAATTCCGCTAATAGCACAGGTGTTATCAACATTTGTGTTAAAAAGATTAATAAGGGTTTCCGTGTTTTCCGTGATTCTAGTTGGTTTAGTTATCACATTAGCAGAGTTATACGTAGCAAGTGGAAAATTTAAGTCATTTTTAGGTGTGGAAAAAAGTAGCATGTTAATGTTGAAATCACCTCCAATTATCACAGTTAACTTATTGTCGCTACAAAATCCCATGAGATTGCCAAAGAAAGCAAGAAAATTCAGAATGTTGCCCCCCTATCAGGTGGACGGTAAACTGCAGAAACACGCGTATTATCTCTAAGCAAAGACAGGATGTTATAATCACTAGAGACAGCGAAAAAACATAATAACAGTTCACAATTCATGCCTTCTTTTATTAGTGCACACACGCCTCCACCACGACTAGTGGTGCGATTTAAACAATAGGCATTGTAGGATGGCAAAGGAAAAACGTCCCCTTCATCAGAATACCAAGTTTCAGTTAACATAATTACATCGAAAGGAGTTTCAAACTGTCCAAAAAGACATTCGAGGTCAATAACTGTGTTCTTTGCCGAACGTACGTTTAACGAAAGCCCGTAGGGAAATATTAGACCATGAGCTTAGGTGTTGTTTCAAATCAGTAAGTAAAAGATAAGGCGAATCCATCAAGTAATAACTGATTCGTCATATTCACGTAGGCAGCACTAGGAGTCAATCGCGAGCAAATCGTCTTCGTTCTTGACGATGTAAGAGCGCTCGCCATCCTTACGCCTGACAAAAAGTTTTCCGTTCCGGTTCCAGACATACAAGAATCTTCCTTTTTGCCCATTCTTTTGTCTTGGCCAGCAGCTCCCTGTTATACGTGGTCAGGTTTTCGCTGACGTTCGCGTTGATACCAGCGTTTCTCAGCCTAGCCTCCTGTCGCACCAGGCGTCCCTTGTGGTTTGCGATTCAAACTTGATAATGATTCCCGGAATTTTATCAGGCTTTGACGGTAATCTGTGGATAGCTGTGACGTCACTTTGAGACAGTTCGGGCATTTCCAACTTTTCTGCTATTTTGTTCACTTTGCTTATCAAGTCTTCACCTTCAGTTTTCGGGATGCCGTGAAATTCTTAGTTGACCTTTCTGCTTCGCCAATCCAGTTTAAACTGTTTTTTTCGGTAGGGTGACATCGAACGATTACAATCAAGAGAAAACTGCGAGTCTATGACCGGACCACGGTGGTGATTAGTGTATGGCCCTTTAATAGCCAACAATATTTGCGAAGTGGGTGACGCTTGGCTCACAATGACGATACTAGACCAGTATCTCCGAGCTGTATGCATCACACAGGCACTTTTCGGGGTTTGTTGAATCGCCATTGGTATTCTCTACAATAGCACAATTACGGCGAAACAAAACCAAGAATGACGTTTCTGGGCCTCTCCGCAGGTGCAGTACGTGCAGGACCGGAGCCGCACGTTCGCTCTCAAGTGCCTGACCAAGAAGCACATCGTGGAGACGCAGCAGCAAGAGCACGTGCTGAGCGAGAAGGCCCTGATGATGTCCTGCCGGCACCCGTTCATCTGCCGTATGTTCAAGACCTTCAGGGACGAGAAGTACGTCTACATGCTCATGGAGGCCTGCCTCGGAGGGGAGGTCTGGTCACTGCTCAGGGACAGGCGAGTCTCTCTCTTTCTCTCTTATTGACTTTGTTTAACGGCCACCCCTTAGAAAAGAGGGCCACGGTGCCGGTTTTTCTACGTACTTTAGCAGCGGGGGCAAAGATTGGTCACGAGTGCTCTGTCAGCGTTCGGCAAGGACTCCGTGCGTTTGTTTCATCCCAACGTCCACCAATGGCGGCACGGGCCCGGCTTCCTCGTCATCACGAATTCCCTACGCGTTCTCTATGTTGCCCTTTGAATGGCGGGCCCCTCTTTGCGTTTCGATGCACAAAAGACGCATTTTAAAACACTTGCTCGCCGTGTGGTGCTCCTCATCGATCGGCCGTGCATGGTGTCGCTAAGTACAGGAATCATTTTGGCATTCGGGCATTTGACGTATACGTAATCCTTCTGACACCGAGACACTCACTTCTAAAACCTCGATTCTTTTTACTTTCTTTCTTCGAGTGTGGGGTTTGGGTGCACCGTTGGTTTATAAGAGTATTTACACTTAAACTAACTTAAAACAACAAATACAATTACAAACGAGATGGGTATCTGGTAAATTTTCCGAAGCCACCTCCCACAGTTTTAATAAAAGTCAGTGTTTTTTCTTGTATAATTATTTTGCGTGCTAGAACGAAAACCGTCAGCAAACTGTTTAATTTACCACTCCAGAGAATAATGAATGTTTTAAAGGGGTTTCACTGGGCATTTAATAGAGTAAAAAAAATTTTTGCACGTCCCAATACCCAAAGTATTTCGTCATTCTCGCCGGTGCCAGGGGCTCTTTCGACGAGGGCACCAGCCGGTTCTACACGGGCTGCGTGCTGGAGGCCCTGCAGTACCTGCACGACAAGGGCATCGTGTACCGGGACCTCAAGCCCGAGAACATGGTACTCGACTCGGTCGGATACGCCAAGCTGGTGCGTACGCTTTGTAGTCACTTGTGTCCAGCGTGAGACTCGCCGAAGCCTGATTTCAACGATACGTACTATCATGCCTGCAGCGCGTCTCCGACTGGTGTGTTTACCGCGTCCCAAAAAAGTGGTTCCTGGATTTCCGCCTGATGACGTCATAGAAGTGTCGCGCTGTCACCGGCCGCGATCCTGGCGGCGTCCCAGCAGCGGTGGTGAATATGGCAGACGCCTGTTCTGTCACAAGTCGCTCCCGTGAAGTCCACGGAAGATACTATGCCCAACCGCCAGGATCGCGACGTGCGACGGCATAAAGCTCCAGCTTTTGTGACGTCATTTATCGTCACTTCGGGACCACTTTCGATTTACAGGCAGAAGAGGGCGCTGAACACATCATTCGGAGACGCATTCCGGGCCCCTGCTCGAGTGCATAAAATCGTCTATCAGCTCAACCAGTTACGAAGCATACTCGTGAACCTAATTAGAGGAAGGCATTTTTTTATTATTTACGCGTACATACCGCTGGCTTTCTGTTGATAGGTGAGGTAAGCGCCGCGTGGGGGTTCGCAAAACGTAGGAGACGCAAAAACTCGCTGGGGAATAACATTACGGAGGTGTGGGGCAACCGAAATGCAGAAACAGGGATATCACACAAATTTAGCTCAGCACGACGAAGCACGTACTGACACTCAATATAGTAAGCGCACAAAATGACAGGCAGCATCAACAATGAATCAAAGTAGACAATGTCGACATCAAATGGTCCAAGAAATACTCTTTAAGCTGTAGGAAACTTTTTTCGACCCTCTCAGAAACTTCGACCTCTTGCGGAAGCCGGTTCTGTTCTTCAACGGTTGATCGGAAAAAATGACGACTCATTCCACTCTGTGAAGGTGGATGACAAGCGAAGCTGTTTAGCACACGACACAGACGTGACACAGAAGTTTGAACAAAGGTACGAACACATTTATTGTCTTGATCGGGGATCATCGACGTGACGAACGGTACGCACACACATGTCGAGGACTATCGCCGCCCCGAGGAGCCGGAAGAAACTATACACGCGTAACGGGACCGCCACCAGGCGGAAGGAAAGGAAAATAGGCACGCGAGCGCTTGGAACGACAACAAAGACAAAACGGTGGGCTTCCCTCCTCCTTCTTTCCTCCTAGTCTCCTTTTGCCGCTGAATTTGTTCATGGGTGACGTGACACAAAGTCGTGACGTCATTTTCACCCCTAAATCTAGCGGCGAAACTGAATTTGTGTTGATGTCACGTGACGTCAATTTCCCTGCTAAATTTAACGAAAACGTTTCCTCGCCAAATATAGTGGAAAAAATTTTCCCACCAAATTTAGCGGTAAAATTTCCCCGCTAAATTTTGCAGGGAAATTGACGTCACGTGGCACGAAGTTGTGACGTCAATTTTCCCGCTAAATTTAGTGGGAAAATTGAATTGGTGTTAAGGTCAAGTGACGTCAATTTCCCCGCTAAATGTAGCGAAAATTTCCCCAGCAGAAAAAATTTCCTTATAATTTTAACGGGGAAATTGACGCCATGCGGCACGAGTCGTTATGGCACACGACGTCATGACCTCGGGTCACGTGAAGACAACTTCATGTCACGTAAAGGAAACACTGCAAGAAAAAATGTTTCCCTTGCAGTGTCCCTCTGAGCTGAAGCAAAGTATAAGGAAGTGTTTCAGATTACATTTTAAAACCAGAGTTTGCCGGCTCTACGTACTGTTGTTGTGACATGAACGTTCCACAGAAAGACTGACGCCTAGATACCTATAATCCGACGCACTTGTTTATGCGGAGAGAAAGTTCGTTCGCTGCTTTTGTAAGGGTTGTGGTGACGTCAGAACGTCGAGCTCTGATTGGTTCTGATTGGAGGATAGTGGGTAGACCTCAGGGCAGCTTGCCTTTGAGGTCTTCCCACTATCCTTCAATCAGAGCAAATCAGAGCGCGGCGTTTTGAAGTCACCACAACCTGTGCAAAAGAAGCAGACGAACTTGGGCTCCGCATAGCGTAGAAAAATCTAAGGGGTCACTTATTTCGAGTAAAATACATTTTGACACATTAAGTCAAGTTAAGTGGCATCTGCCAAGTGGAACATCATTCCGAGAAATCCTACAATCACTGATTGAGAGAAACCTGGTCATCTAGTGTTTTTATCTCGTGGTACAAAATGCAGTCGTCCGCGAAGATTCTTATCTTCGTATCAATGAAACTGCTTTAACATCATTCATGACAATAAAAAAAAAGAGGACGGACCCCTGAGGAACACCCGTAATAGCTGGAATACTATCGGAGTAGCATCTGCAACAAATACACATTGACGCGGTTTTCTGGATAAGACTCAGACCATTTTATTAGAATATTGTTATTCAAGACCTTTTATGTTTTGTCAAGGCTTTAGATGCGTCACTCTTTAAAGGCTTTAGAGAAGTCTGTGACTACCAGATTTACCTGCCCCCGCCAATCTAGAACTTCAGCAATGGCATGCACAGTTTTAACCAGATGAGTAACGATGGAAAGCTAACATCGGAAGCCATGTTGACGAGCGTCAAAGAAATTGTACTGTTCAAGAAAAGCTACAGCGTGTTTGAATAAAATGTGTTTTAGTATTTTGCTACAGGATTAGAGATAAGCCTATTGCCTTCCACGCATAGTGAATCACCGGCCTTGTGACTAGACATCATATTAGCTAATTTCCGTTTATGTGAAAATACGCCGTCGCTCAAGAAGTTGATAAAAGGAAGCGTAAAATTTTGAGCACCACTCCGCATATCAAAGTAAAAACATTGGTGATATCGTGTCTGCCGGTGGTCTTGTTAACGTATTTCGCAAGCAGGCATACGAAGATACCAGCCTCTTAGACCGTAATATCAAAGATAGAAGGACTAAATGGCCTAAGAAAAACTGATAAACCGTTTTTTTTTTTCAAGCATAAAAATTGTGCTGAAGTAATTATTGAGGCAAGAGGCAACGTCTGTTAAAGTGAAAATCAAGGCATCATGTACGCGTAGGTACATTGGTCTATCTTGCCGGAGGGGAAAGTATCTCCGAAATTTAGAAGGGTTCGATTTTAAGAAGGTGCAAAGGGTTTTATTGAAGTACCTATAATTGGCTTGCTTTAGACAAGATTTGAGTTGAGTTTTTAACTGGTGTAGCCGGTCGTGTCAAGGGTTGCGTTTTTGCGGGCAACATTTAATCTTCTTTTCAAATGCATTATCTGTCTGTTAATCCATGAAAAATTTTCCCGCTATTCCCGTTCTCCGGTAAGTGATTCACATATTACCTCTACCTCGTACTATTTTATTATAATATTCACTTCAATTAAGCCCGAAGCTAGCTTCTGCACGAGAGACCAGCATTCCCAGGCACAGGAGAGGGTTTCCGCTCTCCAGCCCCTTCGTTTTCGTCATAACCCCTTCAGGTTATAGTTGTTGTTTTTGTTAGATTAAAGGTCAACTAAAAAATCATTTTAAAACTGGAATAAGATTACGATGCCGAGGCATTGTTAACTCAGAACAAAATCGGGCTTCGAATGCAAATTATGACGATGACAATTACGCTGGAATGGTGAACCGAAGTTCAGAGTGGAACTCCAAACACACTGTCTACGGAGATCATTGCTGTGTCCCGACCCCCGAGTAATGCTGACCTAGAGGTCAGTGTAGCATCGCTCATGTCAGCCAACAAACTCCTTGTTTTGACTAAACTTGCCGATGCACAGCCGCAGTTTGCAATTTTAATTTTGTAAAAACTCACGGGCCTCCATCCGGAATACAGGAGATAAGAAACTATGGCAGTTGTCAAAAGATTTCGGAATGCTTTCATTCCGACGCCAGGCGAACGAACTGGGAATTACTGGCCTTGTACATCACGGGAGTTTGGCACTTTCTTTCCGCTCAGACAAACCAGGCTATGCAATTCCTTGAGACACCTCATTCGTGTAAAAGAGAGGAGGAGCGAAGAGGAGAAGTAAAAACATGCGATTTCTCTGAGGATGACTCGCATTACAGAGTCCTCTAGAAAATATAGCAGCGGATGAGTTGCACTTAATTGTGTCTCCGATGCTCAAAATTTATATTCTGCATGCATGTCATTTAAAGGGATACTGAACCGAAATTTCGAGCTCACAAAACAAGGCTGGAGGGGTAGGCGGGACGCTGCGAAACCCAAAAACATCACTCATACAGCAATATCTTTAACGGATCGCAGTATTTTTGAAAAAAAAAAAAAAAAGTGCGCGATTGAACACGGCTGACGGGACATGTGACGTCACGATTCTCGCTCCCTCTCCTCTCCTTGCTACGTCCCGTCGAGCTAGTGAACAGAAGCCAGGAGGAGAGAAGCGAGGCCGCTTCCCCTCACTCTAAAGTTTTCCAGGGGGACAATGACGTCATGGCCCTCGCTTGATCGCGCCCTTATTTTCCAAAAGTACGGCCATCCGTTTGAGATATCAATGTATGAGTGATGTTTCGGAATTCGTAGCGTCCCGTTCAACAATTCTGCGGTCTTATTTTGCGAAATTCAAATTTTCGTTTAGTATCTCTTTAACGTGTTTATTTTACATTCTCTAAATAATGCTTCAAAGCAACAAAAAAAATAAGTATGAATACTTAGGAGTACTATGCGTCAGGTGAAAGTCACATATACCTTGGTGATGACGAGTTGTACCTTTTCGGAAAACTCAAACGGTCAAACTTATGTAATCAAACATACTTGACTGCGTAGTTATATCAAGTGAGCGGGTGATTTCGCAACCATCTTTACTTTGACGCCCAACTCGCAAACAGTCGATGCTAGCAGGAGGTCATGATAACCATGTCTTACGCAGACTCGTGGTGCCCCGTTCCCGCAGGTTGATTTCGGCTTCTCGAAGCGTGTGCCGGCGGGCCAGAAAACGTGGACCTTCTGCGGCACCCCCGAATACGTGGCTCCGGAGGTCGTGCTCAACAAGGGACACGACCGCGCCGTCGACTTCTGGGCCGTGGGCGTGCTCATGTTCGAGCTGCTGGCCGGCACGCCACCGTTCGCCGCAGACGACCCCATGAAGACGTACAACGTCATTCTCAAGGGCATCGACATGCTGGACTTCCCGCGGAACATGTCTCGAAACGCCGTGTCCCTCATCAAGAGGCTCTGCCGGGAGAACCCCTCAGAGCGGCTGGGCTACCAGAAAGGAGGCATCATGGACATCAAGAAGCACAAGTGAGGACCATAGGCTATGTAGTATGGGGTGCCTGGAACGAGTGTCTGACGGGTAAGTTTACCGCGTCCTCAGAAAGTGGCTCCTTAAGTTTCGCCTGATGACGGTGCACACATCTACAACTGCCTTCCGAGATCCTCGCAGTCGCACAGCAGCGTACGGAGGGGGCTGCGGCAGACGCCTGTTCTGCTGCAGGTCATTCCCCAGCTTGACAGTTCGTAGAAGCTTCGCCAGCCAGGCGCTGGGACACCGCGACAACAGCGGCACTCGCGTTCGCTCATGCTTTTTGCACGAAGTTCTAGAAACAACCGCCAGGATCGCGACATCCGACAGCTTGACAAGCCGGTTTCTATGACGTCATTTGTTGCCATTTTGGGACCATTTTATATGCATGGACACTAAACGCACAAGTCGATGACGCGTTCCAGGTACTTGTAGTCATCGCCCGCCATAGCTGTATGGGTTTCTGCTGAGTGCTCGCATACGGCAAGCTTTAATTTCGGTTATTTCTTTCCGTTAAAGTCTTTGACGCGCGATTAGCTGCTCTATTCACCACTCGCGCTGATGTGACCTCAAATGAAGACGCATGAGCAGACGTAATAATCAAGCATAAATAAATTCGTCTTCGTAATCGCCAAATGACGTTTGAAATCGTTTCCTTTTTGACCAACAGGTGGTTTCAGAGTTTTGACTGGGACGGGCTGCAGGCACGGACGCTCCAGCCACCCTTCGAACCACAGGTAAGGCTCCGGACGGCTTACCTACAAGTGTCACTCTTAAGACGGAAACCATATGTTATTGATGAGCGGAGAGTGTCACTAACTTTTAATCCTTCCTTCTAATTTTTATTCCGTATAAATATACATTGCCGCAAACATAAGAAAAATACCGTAAATATTATAGACGAATAGGACACCCGTTTAACGACCTACGTTTGACTACGTTTCGGTGACTGTTTGACTACGTTTCGGTGACTTATGTCAATGTACAACTACGGCATACTACGGAAACTAAGGTGCGGAGCGATTTCTGTAGTGGTAGCTCGTAGTCGCATGTTGACGTAAACTATATTAGCATAGTGAACCACTACAGTATGATGGTTCTTTACTTTGGTCTGTGTTTTGTGTGTGCGCGCGTACCAAAACGATTAAAATTCAAGTTGTAGAAGAAAACGAAGGAACTCAAATCCAGGCCCATACAATGTAAGGATAGCGCACAAACAGAGAAAGCCACGTCCAAAGCCGTTCCTGTTGATAGTATATATAATACGGGGATAACCAGTTTAATTTTTGTTTAGGTTGACCGTCACATCCTAATGTAACTCAATGCCGTAAAATGCAGTCTTCGGACCTTAGTACTGCGGCAACACTCCAGTGTGATGTCGACGCCCAGAATCCGCATCTAAACTGATTAATTAATGCAGCTAAAATAAAAGTATAATAATTCAATATGTGGGCATGTGTTGCAGTGATAGCGGACCTCGTGTATATATGCAGTGATATGTACGCGTATTCTTAAGAGCTATGTCCCCCACTTAGTGAAAAAGTAAAAAACACTACTCACAGAAATGCGAGCATGGAATGTAAGCTGCCTTTTTTACACTTGAAGGGAAATTGTTTTGTAAGCAAGGGCTATTGCTGAAGAATGCTTTAGTCAAAAAACTTATTTTATTAGGTCGGGGAGGAGTGTTGATTCCTTGTTCTCCGAGCGGCCATGCCCTTGGCGATGTCTGTTGTTGGCTTTTGTGTTCACGCTGTTCTCCGAGAAAATCTTTATAGCTCCTCTCACCAAATACGTTGCACGTAGACGCACGAAGTTATGGACTTTCACATTTCTCTTTTCGTGCATTTCACAGCAGGAAATTAGCAATGTGTGAGGTTGCCTGCTCTTGTAGATGTTTATTCTGCACTTTCCTGGCAACACGGCCTTTCTCTTTCTGTCCTCCAGATACGGGGTCCCGCAGACAGTTCCAACTTCGACGTCTACCCACGCAACTTCGAGATCCCTCAGGATGAGACGTCGGGATGGGACGAAGATTTCTGAAGATGGCCGGTGGCCGTGCTCAGTCCACGTAGACCTGCATAACGTGCCAACGACAGAACGACCCCTTCGACGGGTCAGCGTCGTCAAACCGCGTGCCAATGCATCTGCAGCGTACTCCATTCAGGCCGTGTGCTGACGGGGGAAGAGAATCGCGTTGCACGAGTGAGCCTTAGCGCAGAACTGTTGGGCAGGCCTTCACGAATGCGAGGAACTAAGGACAAGGCTGCGCTGCGCATGCCCATTAAACATTTAAGAAAATGAAAAGAAAAAATGTAATTGCACTCCGCCTTGTGCCTCTAGCTTTCAGCCAGCTCCAAATAATGTTATCTAACTCGCAGCTACTTCTACGTACCATTACACTCTAAAGGTCAAAACACGAAGCTGAAGAAGTATTGTCGACACTGACGCCGCCAACGAGTTTTCTCTTGCCTTCTTTGCATTATTCAAAAAAAATATATGGCTTTGAAATAAGGGTAATGGCGAAAACTAGTTGGTGAACAGTCATACTTATAAAACCCCGAGACAAGAAACAAACAAAAAAAGAAAAAAAATACAAACCGAAGTTGTGTTGTCTTTTTTTTTATCTTGTCTTGGGATTTTATAAGGAAGGAATACCGCATCGCTGAAATTCGTACACACACAAAAAGTGCTTATCTGGCGTAAAAGCGCTAGTGAACCAGGCGCAAACTTACCACTTGGAAAGACAAGCAAGCATTCGGTGCCAAGCGCATATTCTAAATACGGTGGGAATCCAGTGAGGGCTCCGAGTCAATCGGACACTTTTCAACGGAATCTTGTAGCATGAAGCGCATGGAGGATGGGTTATGGGCCTTGACAGGCAAATAGTCACCTACAAGTCCACTGCGAGTAAGCTGCAAATTCTCCTGCCTCCAGTATGAGCCCGCTACCGTTCGTGGCGGCTTGACAGCGCGTATACGTGCTCATCGTTCACCCGATGCCAGAACATCACTGAGGACAGAACTCTCTAGCCACAATTAAGTTAACTGAAAAACTGAATGTCTGCTGTCAGGGATCATTTTTAGAAAGCTTGTCAAATAAACGCTCTTTATGTCTGCGTGTAGAACGGAACAGAAGAAAAACATGTGAAGTTCGATTTGGATTGGCACCTATTTTGGTGGTACATCAGACCAGTTACAGTGAAGTCAGTACCTGACCTTGAACAGGAACGCTGCTTCCTAAAAATTACACACCACCCATAAACTGTTTTCCTAGAAGGCGTCTTTGTATATTGTCCGAAACGCGTATCCGGTCATGATTTTAGTGATGAAAATGAAATTAAAATTCTTTCATAGAGCGGCCCGTGAAAGGCTAAGGAAGGACTCCCCAAAAACTACCCGTAAAGGCTCTATACTTGTGCTCCCTGGTATCCGACTGATGGCCCGTTCAGCGGTTCCGCAGCTCAGTGCAAATCAGCCTTCAAGCGCGACCGAATCAACGAGGAAATATAACAACCCAAAGGAACCAGGCGGCAAACTTGTGCGAAAGTACGTGTGACCACGTTGGATGCTGTGATCTTGTTCGTGCCTCTATATTTGCACCAAACCTCTTCTGAATTTGCTCCACACAACCGAAAATGTCGGACTGCTTTCAAACTACTCATGGCAGGTGACAATTGAATCTGAACCGAAAATTAACACGGGTGACCGTTTTCGTTCTGTACTCTAAATGAACTCGAAGTTTTTAAATGCAAAATTATGACACTGATCAAAAGCGATAGTACACAAAGCACAGCTAATTTTTTCTTTAAAAAAAAAAAAGGACGCCGCAATTTGGTGATAAACGCCAGCAGCAGTTTCGGTATAGTCCACAGTGCGTCGTCCACGAGTCTCACAGCACATGTTCAGAACCAAGGACGCCCTCTTCTCGACGAAAGAGCACCAAACTGTGAAAATGAGAGGTTTCAGGCACCTTAGTTAAGGAGTCCATCCTTCGATTAAAGAGAGGACATAAATGCACTCTAGAAACATATGGCGCCTTGGCGTGCACCATCACTTCGGTACGAACTGTTACGCGAATCAAGCTGCACCCGTCTTGTTGCGTGCTGTATACGTTCTCGCACTGGCAAGTGAAACAAACGAGTGTTTATTAAATATTGCAATTTGTCAACGTGTGCTGTGACTATATACGTCGCTAGGTCCATCCACAGAAAACTACCGAAAAGAACATAACGAGGTAAGCTTACCGCTGCAACGATCGCGCCGGCATCGCTAAGGCTCCCTGCTTTCAAAGAAAATCCGAAACTTCTAACTGGAGATGTATAGCGTGGTCCTCAAACTCAACGTCGCCACGATGTGGTTCATTTTGGCATATCTTATGCAATTCCTGGACCCACCGGTCCAACTACGTGGTAAAGGTTTAGCTCTCCTATCACAACCCATCCTGAGGAAGACATTCCAGCTGCTACAGTGCAGGATTGTCAGGTACTCGCAGATTCACCTGCCAATTTTTTGTGAGATATAGCCCTAAAGTAACCCAATTATGGACCATAAAAATAGACCAAATAACCCAAAAAGTAAAATTTCATACAACGTGTTTAAAACCATAGAGTTAATATAATGTACGCTAGAAGTTCAACTGGCGCTAGTGCTAATGCGACTTCCGGGATGCCAACTGAAGCAGACAGCAACTAAAATCACTGGATCCTGGGAAAGTAGCGTCAAGCTCCCCGTATGGTCGCCATTTTGGACCAAGAAATGAGCAAATTCTCCTTGACCCCTCCGTTCTTGGTGAGCCGATCTAAATTTGCTGTTGACGGGTAGCTTTACGGAGGCCCCTAGCAAAAATAACGGTTTGAAATTAGTCCGGAAAGTGAAATCCGGACTAAAATCATACCGGAGTCAGACCGGAAAGGCGGCTTCCGGTTCGCACAAACCGTGAATTTTAAAATCCGGTTCAAAGTCAAATTGGAGGAATTCCGGAGAGGCAAATTCCGGTTCGCTCATACCGTGATTTTCCTAATCCGGTTCAAAGTCAAATTGGAGGAATTCCGGACTGGCAACTCCCGGTTTGCTCAAACCGTGATTTTCCTAATCCGGTTCAAAATCGAATTGGAAGAATTCCGGAGAGACAGATTCCGGTTCGCACAAACCGTGATTTTCCTAATCCGCTTCAAAGTCAAATTGGAGGAATTCCAGACAGACAAACTCCGGTTCACACAAACCATGATTTTCGTAATCGGTTCGCAAAAACTGTGATTTTTGGAATCCGGTTAAAAGTACAATTGAAGGAATTCTAGACACACAATATGCGGTTCGAACAAACCATTCCTTGCCAAATTTCGTTAAAAGGCAAATTGGACAAAGTCTGGACTGAAAATATCCGCTTTGCACAAACCATACTTTGCCATATCTTGTTCAAAAGAAAATCGGATCAGCTGCCTGATGCCGAAGATTTTCATGCGTATGGTTGAAATATCAAGTTGCAAACAAACCATCCCGATCCCGTACGGGCTGCGTCGATCACAGCGCAGACCGCAGAAGACAGCGAACTGATACGCGGTGCCAAAAAAGTAACATCTAGGCGATTTTTGCGCAAGTCATCGCCATCTAATTCCATCTAGCCTTTTCTATGCACTCTGTAATACTTGTTCATTATTGTGCTTAAACTACGTTTTGTTATTTTGAATTATTTTTCTTAAAAATTGTTTGATAACTGTCAAATAACCTTTTTCACATAATTTTCTCCACATAACCACAAACGAAAACAAGAACTAATTTGATGCCACAGCTAGATGTACACACAATCGGAAAGTGTCATTTTAGTATCTTTGAGAGCTTTCCTGCGGTTTTCTTGTTTATGCCTGCATGTTCAACATTTTATTATGGTGCACATGCAGGCAATTTCAAGGGCTTTCATCAATACAGGTACGCCAAGCAGGGACTCGAACCGTAACCGTAACCGAAACTGAAAACCATTTAGGAACAAAAATTTCCAGTAACCATAATCGGAACAAAATTGTTATTTGAAATTTACAAAAAAACTACCTAACCGCAACCGTAACCGTAAAGTATTTACAGGTAACCGGTTTTAACTAATATTAGCCGAAAAAAAAAGTTTTTCTCACGTATGACCTGGAGGAGGGATCATGAAATATCGTGGCAATTTGAGAGAGTTACTTTCAGCGAGTGGTGCATCTGGTAATATATTTCCGTTCAATCTAACTTTAGGATTAAGGATACTTAGTTGAAATCAGTGGTCGTGCTTATAATAAAGAAGTCTTTTTTTCTAAATCTGTCACATTCCTACATCGCTACATGTATCAGTGTGTGTCGCCTTCAGTGTAATAACTAATAAGTTAGAATTCTCATATGTCCATCCAATTCGGTTCTATCAAAACCACCGATGTTCCTGACATGCAGTAGCCAGTATGAAGAAACGATGTAAATTGACCGCCATGCAGAGCTGGCGGAAAAGAAAACCTGGTATTAATTTAGTCTGCAACGCGCCGCTATTGACAATTTTGTAACAGCACAGAAAGAAACAAAAATGTGAGAGGTTTGACATTGGTGTTAAGTGTATGTTTCATATTAACGTGATCCAGAATTTATGTGAACAGAAAACAATCACAAAATTAAAAGTATTTTGTGAAGTGAAAGCTAATATATCCGCTGATGGCCAGTATTTAAATGGAAGTTCAGTGACTGGCCGGCATCGGCGCTTTGCTGTTCAAACTGGCGAGCCCCGTCATGGAAGATCCGTTTACTGACCGGCATTGTTTTATTTTTTTTTTATTAATTTTTCATTATGCAGTCAGGACATTGAGATTCTGGCGAACTGCGGCAATTCATGAATAGCGAGTGGAAATGTTTGTTTTGATCAATCCTTCCTAAATGACGACCGACGCTAGGGTATTTTATCCCAGCATGGCAAGTCTGACGTGTTTTATCGCGAAAACGTAAGAAAAAACAATGCGGTGAAGAAAATTTGCTGCCCAGAATTTGAGAATATGACTGCCTATGCCACGAAGAATAAATTTCACAACGCCGAGCATTACTTTTTTCAGGAAGCTAGTTTAATTTAATGTACTATACTTAAAGTCCAGTGGTATACACACGTGTTTGGCTCTGATAAAAAATAAAAATGGTATAACGGAGCGAAAAAATGAAAAAAAAAAACAACCTGACATTATTGAGCACGCGCTCTCAGTTACAAAAACAATAATAAACATTACTTTTCCGAGACTAGAAAAGTAAGAGCTGTGTTGACGCTACGAAATTGAGTGTGAAAATATGTTATTTCAGGCAGGAATCAACTGTTTTCTGTGGTAGTTACGATTATCTAATTCTAACAGAAATATTTCAAATGTTCCCATAGCCAAGCGATATCGGTCTCTTTGATAGCTTATGTTATACGACATACCATATCAGAGGAACGCGAATATAAAAACTTTTTTTAACGCAAAAAAGCGAGAAGCACCACTGCGTTGTGGATGTTCACACTGCCGGGTTTGTGAACGTGACCCCTTGACGCTACGAAAAATAATTGTTACAACGCCGAACAATACCATTTCTGATAGCTAGTTTAATTATCCGTGCTGTACTTGAATCTCAGGAATAAAAACGTGTCTAGGCCTAATAAAAAAGTAAAACTGCGGAGCGCAACCTGTAAAAATAAAACCTGGCGGCACGCGGGGGATAGCACTGACCTACCAGAACAAATTAAATACTACTTTCCGGAAGTAAGAATATTAAGAGATGTGCTTAATACGTAGCGCGCTATGAGCTCAACTAAATTACAGCCTTGAAATGGCTGTATTTTTGATTCAATAGTGGGTGAAGATGGCCGCTTTCAGAAAAACTTCGACTGCATTACTGTGGCAGTTTTACCACTTACACATTTTCCTATTTTGCTTGCAATATGCTCATTATTATTGCATTGCTTTCTTCTTTGAAAGGACTTGTGCTGTTTGCCTACGGTTATGAATTATCCCGGCAAAACAAGAGGGCCACGGTTTGTGCATTGCAACGGTTCAAACTTTGGGTCGCTCTTTTTTTTTTTTTCACCTTCTACGTGATTATTACCTTAAAGAACGGTGCCAACGACTGCAAAAGCATAGAAAATATTTATAATCATAAAAACTAATACAAAAACGTGGGGAAAATATCTAAAATATTAAAAACTACTACAAAAAGGCGAGAAAAAAATATTTAAAATAATAAAAACTACTACAAAAAGGCGAAAAAAAATATTTAAAATAATAAAAATAATACAAAAAGGCGGGAAAAATAATAAAAATAATAAAGACTAATACAAAAGGTAAAAAAAAAATATTTAAAATAATAAAAACTAACACAAAGTACGTAGCTTGACTGAGATTCGAACCAACGACCGCACGCTCAGGAGGACAGAGCGTTAACACACTACGCTACAGACGCCGAGTTAAGCTCGTTCGTTTTCTAGATGGTGGTGAATACGTTTATTTAAAGAAAAATATATATCTCTGGAGACTCGAAGTTTTCATGACGCGGTGGCCTCAAGGCTTGGCATCGTCTCCTCGGTTAAAGGTGTTAGATGGAGTTTCCCAGGTCTCCCTCAGAAATATACTCTAAGAGAGATCTGAGGATCCTGGTCTTGCGTGAGGTGTCGCCCGCTGGGTGCGTCCAGTCCTGCAGTTTTGAAGGTCTTTCGTCATTCGCCATCTTACTGAAGATGAGTGTTCTGAGGGTGAAGAGGGCCACACATTCCCAGAGTATGTGTTTGAGTCTGGGAATGGATTCCTCGGCTTGACACCGCTGGCATCTGGGGTCGGGAGGGACAGCGTAGGGTTTTTGTTTCTTAAGTCTTGCCAGGTCCATTTGGTATCTGAACCTGGGTGCGACTGCTCCTCCTGTGCGTATGCGGCGGAGGATCACCGATTCTTTTCTCTTGAATTCTTCCCTAGGGAGAGGATGTTGTTCTGGGGTCCATGATCTTGCCAGAAGATGTTTTCGTGTCTTCTGGGCTAACCTGAGTTCCTCCCTTGGATCGTATGGGGGAAGCTCAGAGTCTTGTTGCTGTGGTGTTGAGCCTGCCGTGGAGGACTGAGACAACAGGGACGGTTGTGTGAGATTCCTCATCGCCTGCTGTGCAGCCTC